CCCCAAAACCCCAAAACCCCAAAACCCCAAAACCCCAAGGTGTAAGATAGAAGCAGATTAAAATAAGTTTTTAGGTTATTAACAAAATTTGAAAGAATACAATTAAATTAATATCTCAATATGGAAGCACTCAATGACCCACTAAATGATAGACAAGTTAAGACTATAAAACCCCCTCCTCACAGACCACTTAACTCGAATACCATGTACCCTGATCCTTGTAAACACTAATATTTATTCAAACCTCAAAAATAGCTAGACCAACAGTTCCAGATCTTTAAGTAATAAGATAGCATCTTCTGGCAGAGGGGACTATATCAAAGTAAGATCTCGTGAAACTTATCAAGGATACTCACGCACTATTTAGTATGACCATTTGATCACTTACATTACAATAACCTGCATATAGAGAGTGAACCTAATGTTTTGAAATTACAAGAACCAGTTATTATTGTTGGTGATATTCATGGACAGTACTATGACTTAATTCACATGTTTGAAAAAGTTGTAGATCAAAGGCAGCTTCCAAAGTATCTTATAATATTCTAACATATTTGATAGAACCAGGATGTTATTCTTAGGTGATTATGTGGATAGAGGAATTTTTTCAATAGAAGTTTTGGTGTTCTTATTCACTCTAAAAGTATTTTGAAATTAATGTTACTCACTTTAATTTTAGTTAAATTACCCAAAGGATATTGTATTATTAAGAGGAAATCACGAGAGTAGAGCTATGACTGAACACTTCACTTTCAGAAATGAGTGTCTTAATAAATACAAAGAGGAGTAGATATATGAATTGTTCTTGGAATGCTTTGAAGCATTGCCATTAGCAGCTGTAGTAAATAATGATTATTTGTGTATGCATGGAGGAGTCTCGCCATAATTGGCTGATGCTGATGAAATTAATAAGATTAATAGATTTGTCGAGCCACCTCTCTCTGGTCTACTCTGTGATCTCCTTTGGTCTGACCCAGTAGACGACTCTTAAGCAATGAAAGTAAATTTCAGTGAAAATAAGGAAAGAGAGTGCTCAGTGAAATTCGGATTAAAACCGGTGAAAGCATTACTGAAGAAGAATAATTTTCTATCCATCATCAGGGCTCATTAGGTCTAATTAGAAGGTTATAAAATGCATAGATGGGGTGGAGCTCAAGCTTTTCCCTCTGTAATTACTGTATTTAGCGCTCCAAATTATTGCGGAACCTACAGTAATAAAGGAGCAGTTATCTTAATTGAAAACGATAAAATGAATATAAAGTAATATAAGGATGTGGACCATCCATTCCATCTCCCGGGAGATATTGACTTATTTTCATGGTCAATTCCTTTCTTGGCAGAAAAAGTTACAGAAATGCTTTTTGCCATAGTTGGTTAAAATAATGCGTACTCACCTTTGTCTGCGAAAGAATTAGAGAACATAGACTTCTCGAAATTGATGAAAGATTACGGAAAGGAAGAAAAGAAAGAGAGAAATGAAATTCTGAGAACTAAAGTTATGACAGTAGCAAGATTGTAGAGACTGTTCAAAAATCTAAGGTAATACTCAAATTTTTACAACTTTTAAATTATAGAGCAAATAGTGAAATGCTTATCTAAATAAAGAAAAATTCCTCGGATGGTAAGATTCCCAGAGGACTATTGCTTAGTGGCAGCCCTGCTATTAGGAACGCTTTCTCAGAATTCGAGGTCTCCAGATAGTTAGATAGAGAAAATGAGAAGTACCCAAGAACCTCCGTAAAATCTTAGCCAGGAGCACGCTTCAGAATGCCATAATGATCGAATTAAATATGATCATGATGAATTTAAGAAATTTAATATCATTCGAAAAAATATAGAATAATAATTCAAGTTAATTCTTAGTGTATATATCTTAGTATCTTTCATAACTTTGCATCTAGGGGTTTTGGGGTTTTGGGGGTTTATGTGAATT